AAAAGATAATTTATATAAATCAATCACATAATTTAATTAAATGTATTTCTATTTTAATCGGTACATTATTATTATTATTATATTATTATACTGATGATTTTTGTAACGTTAATGAGTGTGTCTTTGGATATTCACATAAAATCAATATTTCAATAAAAAAATACTACTACCGACTTCTAGATTTCTCTAGGCTCAAAGGAACTGGAACAAATCGCTCATAATCAGTGTCGCGATTTTTATTATGCAGTTGAAAATTGTTATTATACATGACAAATATTATGAGTCACGTGATGAAACTTTGCTGATAAAAAGACGATGATGATTAACAGCGTATCGGCAGTATCGAACGGCTCTTGTAACTGTAAGAGCTATTCGATGTTAACCGCCGACCGATATCAATTAATTTGACTCATTACTCTTAATTATTCTGAGGGAGAGAGAAGTGCCCCAAAAAGAAAGGCTAATATTTAATTGATATATAAATGCAAATAATTCTCTAAGACTAGTGTTTTTTTTTATTTATCTCCTGATTAGTAAAATATACTCAAAAAAATTAGCAAACCTTGCATAGGATGCTATAAATATTTTTCCATACAATACGCATAGGCAAATTTATTTATTTTTTTCTAAGAGTAAAGTTTAAGTACACTTTTAAAATATAATATTATTAAGATATAAATAAAATATTACATAAATTAGTACATAAATTAACATAAGCTTTGCATTACTAAAATATGATGTATTTGTCAAGTTTAGTTGCGTCATGCATCCAGAAAAAAATAAAAAGTTCAAACTTTTTAAAAAAATAATTATATCGAGTTAAATAATGTTCAAAACATACCAAAATTTTAACGCTGAACTGTAAGTATAATATATGCTTGTGAAAAAACGATATTAAAAATTTATCGTTGAGATAATCGCAGTTTCATCATATGTTCTAGACGAGGAAATGCTTCGTTACATTTTTCGGAAGAGCACAACTGCTGTCGATAAATCGCGAATTACTTCATGAACCTATCGTATTAATGGTTACTACGATCGAAAATAATATGAAACATTTTACTACATGGCATTACAGCCGCATCTGGTGTAAACGACAGTCACGAGCTATAACCGTCATAGTTTGTTATCTAATCCCCTTTTGTTATCTGAAACAAAATTGAAAACAGTGCCTTCGCTTGGACACGATTCTTCTGTATTTCGATTCTTAGCTTATTATACAAAACATAGAATTCGAAATGTAGTTAAAATGTATATGATATAAAATAGTAGAATATAATAAATTGTTATTTAAAAAAATATTCCTCACATGTTATTTACATTAAAAATTAATTTGATTGCAAATATTGCAATATATTGTTTCATTAATTTAATATTATCAATATTCGTCATTTATAAGTTTTACTTTTTTTACGGTTTTAAATAATAAATATTATCTAATTTAACTGAAACTTGTAATAATAATGTATAATTTGATTTTCGCGACCATATGATTAACTTTCAATTAATAATATATGAATATAAACATAATACAATTTATAAATAAACATATTTTACAAATCTTACATTTAAACAGATCTACATAGCTGATGAAATTTTAGCGGTTATAAATATATCAATTTATCTATCAAGATGCCGTGCCAGACATCGTCAATGATCCAGCATCTGTTGCACGAGATATTCTCCAGGACCGCCATTGCGCTGTCTGGATGTTCTGTTACCTGAATAGTTTTTACTTCTTTTTTTTTATCTACTATTAACCTTCGATTTTATACTAAAATTTATTTCACACGGCAATCATTCTCTTTCAAATCAATTGCTAAACTATTGTAAAATTTTTTTCTTGTTTAATAATTTTAACCATTTAAATGGCAATATCAGTTTAAATATAACAATAGTTTAAATATAAACCGAGAAAAT